CTTCCGATGTTCCTTCCCGACGTTCCTCCTTCCTCCGGTGCCTCCACGCTCTGGCCTCAGCCGCAGCCTCTGCCTAGAACACCCTGGGGCTCCCTGTGGGCAGTGGGGGCCTTGCTCCCGCCTGTCTGACCAGGTCCTCACGTCTCTCACTTTTGAGGGATATTCTCACCGGATATAAAACCATGGATTAGTGGGGCTTTCAGTTTGCCGTCTACAGTGTTCAGGTTTCCTGTAATCAACAACGACGACGACAGAACCTCAGAAATACAACGTCAGAGGCAGCACCGGCGACGGTCTGCTTCCTTTGAGGCGTCGTTTATCAGAGGGGAGCCGGAGGGGTGGGGTTGGCTCCTCCGGGTCCTGCTGACGTCAGTGCGTCTTGAACTTGCAGAGGACGGAGAGCAGACCCTTCGGCGAGAGGAGCAGCAGCCGGACCGCCATGAAGCAGATGGACGACGGGTCCCCGTCCAGGAGAGGTAGACGTGCTCCCTGACCCCTCCCGCGGGCTTCTCCTTCTCAGGCACGCACCCCAGGGTCCAGGGAGAGGAAGCTTCTGTAGGAGTGTGTGACGGGTCTGAGCTCCACGGCGCGGCTCAGTGGTTGAGCATCGACCCGTGAACCAGGAGGTCACGGTTCGATGTCCGGTCAGGGCGCTCCATCCCCTGCTGGGGCGTGCAGGAGGCAGCTGATCCATGATCCTCTCTCATCATGGATGTTTCTATCTCTCCCTCTCATTCTTCTCTGAAATCAATAAAAGCATATTTTTTTAAAAGTAAAATATACATGAGCCAAAGTCCTTGGAGGACTTAATTCTCCGGGACATTCTAGATGGGATTAGGGGCTGTGGGGTATGACATCAGTCACACACCTTCCTATGGGGCCACCAGGCTCAATACAACTTCAAAATAACACCTGGGGCCCCGATTTCCGAGGGGCCCTGCCTACAGTGAGAAGCGTGTGTATGTGTGTGTGTGTGCATGTGCGCGCACGTGTGTATGTGTATGTATGTGTGTGTGTGTGCACGCGCGTGTGTGTGTCCCCAGCTGTGTTCACGTGGGTGTGTCCTGCTCTCCTTCCCAGTCCCCGGCTTCTGTTCCCTCCGCTGCGGGCTGGCCCTCCTCCTGCATTTCTGCAACGTCTCCATGATGTCCCAGCGCGCCTGTCTCAGCCTCACCATGGTCGCCATGGTGAACGGCACGGGCCCCCAGGGCTCGCCCAACACCTCCACCCCGGAGCCCCTGGACGACGTCAAGGTACGTAGGAATGTCGTCCACACTCACGCGTTGACAGCCGGCCTCGCTCACCATCCGTGTACGGAGTGGACGCTACTGAGATCCATGTGACATCATCGCTGGTTCTCACCTATGGAACCGTGTCCGGGGTGGGGGCTGCCCATCCCTGGGCCCGGCACTGGATTTGGGGAGTGAGACGGCGCCTCTTCCTCCCTTTCAGAACCCCGTGTACAACTGGAGCCCCCAAACCCAGGGCATCATCTTAAGCTCCGTCACGTACGGGATGCTCATCACCCAAGTGCCCGTGGGGTATCTGTCCGGAATCTACCCCGTGAAGAACATGGTCGGCTCTGCCTTGCTCCTCAGCTCCCTGCTCAGCCTGCTCACGCCGCTGGCGGCCGGGGTCGGGGAGTCCGCAGTCATCGCCTGCCGCGTGGCCCAGGGGCTCAGCCAGGTACGTGAGGATGCGGGGCCTGAGCAGCCCCCAGCGCACGCGAGTGTCGGCAAGGACCCGCCTCTGCTTCTCGTTGCAGGGGACGGTGCTGGTGGCTCAGCACACGGTCTGGACCAAGTGGGCGCCTCCGCTGGAACGAGGCCGGCTGACCTCCCTGAGTCTATCAGGTAACGGCTCCCGCCCGGATGCTCACATCCCATGGTTGTCTCCTGGCGTCCTTACTGAGAGAAAGAGAGAGAGAGAGAGAGAGAGAGAAAGAGAGAGAGAGAGAGAGAGAGAAACATCAATGATGAGAGAGAATCATGG